TGGAACCGCCGACTGCATCTTCAGATGAGCTGGTTCAAATATTTCTCTAAGAAGAGAAAGACACCTGCTGAAGATGGCACTAGCCACACATCATTAGCCTTTTACTGACTCATAAATGATGATGGTCTGGTAATAAATAGTGTAATAATATATCATCAGATACAAACTAGAAACCTTTGTAAAATGTGTAGGACAATGAGAGAAACAATCTCATTATTGTTTGTATTTGTAGGTGAAGACTGACTAGAGGAACAGGCTGCAGGGGATCAGCTTTCATCATGTGTGCTGCTGAGCACCAGCAGACATGATTTTAAAACAACAACTTATATATATGTATATATATATATTTACATTCAGCCTTTAAAAAGTCACTTTTAACTGGCCATTCAATAACTGGGTTGTAAAAATAAAATCTGCAGTCAAGTGTCATTTGTTTACGCCGCCACGGCTCCCCGGAGAGCCTGCCCCCGCTGCTGAAAAAAAAATCCTAGAGGAACACTGTGCTTTATTGGCATAAATATCACTTTACAATATTGCAAAAGCATCAACAATTGTGTAATTCACAAAAAAAGAACACTGGTGTCTATTTTAATGTCTGCTGCCTGTTGTTCTCATGAATGTTAGAGTCACGAGTCAAGCTGACATCTCAGTTTGTGGGATTTATGGAAGCACCTCAGTCACTGAACAAGCTTTTTGTTGTGTGCCGTGGTGTAGATGCAGGAAGAATATTCCATTATCTTGGCTGTATTATTTTAAGCTTTAGAAAGCACAGTTTCATTACATGCTGACAGAGATAATGAATCATTATGCAAACAAGTGCTCTTGTTAAGTTTGTTCATGAATTCTGTGGTGAATGAGAATGCCACATTTTCATGTTGGATTATATTTGTTGTAGGGATGCACGATATATCGGTGACCATATCGGTATCGGCTGATATGAGTGTTTTTTCCTGTATATCGGTATCGGTCCGATGAACAAATTTAGCCCATGTGAAATTGTCTAACATTAGCGCCTTCATCTCTACATTTGATATTGCTGCTATTTCACAGATGTTTTTACTTATATGGTCTTGGTCTTGAACGTTATATATGTTAAAATATATTTAAATATGTTTTACTTTTGTTACATCATGAAGAAGATTATGCGGTCTAATTTGGTATGGGCTTCTTCTGAATAGTTTTCATGTTCTCACAGTGCTTACTTATACTCATTTTTTGGTGTGAACAAAAATTAAATATTGACATTGGTAGTATCGGTTATCGGCGATATCAGAAATCTTAATATGGGTATCGGCCAGAAATTTTAATATTGTGCATCACTAATTTATTGTACAAACCAACCAGTAAGTACATCTTTGAATACAGCAGCATGTAAATGTTTTGCCACTTGTGGTAAATAGTTGAGTGAGCATGGACTGTCTCCAAAAGGCATTAAGTTCTTCAGCATAAGCAACATTTTTTTTATTTATTTCTGATGCCATTGTAGAATGAAACAAAAGAAATGAGCACCATGCAAAAGTGTGGGCACCCAAGGAGATTTGAGCTCTTAGAGACTTTTACAAAGGTCTCTGTTGGGGTTCAAGGTTTTGAACCTTTATTTTGTTCAATGACTTCCTGTGTGGGCTGCAAGGTGGCGCAGTTGGTAGCACTGTTGCCTCGCAGCAAGAAGGTTGCCGGTTTGTGTCCCGGTGGGGGCACCGGAGTCTTTCTGCGTGGAGTTTGCATGTTCTCCCCGTGCAGCATGGGTTCTCTCCGGGTTCTCCGGCTTCCTCCCACACAGTCAAGGTTAATTGGTGATTCTAAATTGTCCGTAGGTGTGAATGTGAGTGTGCTTGGTTGTCTGTCTTGGTGCGTGGTTGGTTGTATGTTCTGTGTGTGTTTGGCTGCTCTGTGGTGTGCTTTATGTTTTCAGGCTTGGCGGCGCCATGGCTGAGGGGGGCTCGCTCGTTATCCACCGTACCTGTCCCTCATCACAATCAGCGCTGCTCTTAAGGCAGCTTCTCCCCATGGTTCAGCGCTAGATGATTAACTCTCCCCTGAGCGGTACATCGGCCACGATCGTTATCTCGGGTTCTCGTGCTGTGTTTGTTCATTTATCTTGTGCTAACACAACCTTCTTGTCATCTCCTTCAGAGCCTTCTCAGCCTGACGTCTCCCCCAGTCCAGCCTTCACAAGTCAGCCACCAGCAGCAGCCCTACGGTTCCCCCACATTGGATTCATGCGTCACGAGCACCTTCTCCCCAGAGCATGGATTCCTCCTCACTGGAGCACTCCAACGGAGTCTCTGGATAACCTCTCAACTCCTTCATGAAGACCAGCGTGTGCCTGCACTTCCCTCTCCTGCTTCTTTGGTGTCCTTGCTCCTTTCCCGAATAAAGTTCCCTTTATTATTGTAACCTTTCCCCCTCTACGCATTCTGGGTCCATTTCCCACACACTAGGATCTCCCTCCCAACAGTCTCAGACCATAATTGGCTTGTTCAGGCTGTGGCTCGTTCACATCATGAGTTAACATGAATGTTTGAAAAATGTTACAAAGAACTGTGTTGAGTATTGCTAAACAGGCAAATCAAAACTCATGTTTGACTGCAAAAGGCCTTCAGACAGATTGTGCAGACTTGACAGTGGCACTTCATTGTTCTTCTGTGTTGAGACATCTTCACAACTATGACTTTCATAGAAGAGTCATCAGAAGAAAACATTTTCTGTCAAAGTCTGTGTCAGACGTGTGCAAGTGTACATCTTAACAAGTCTGATTCATTTTGAAAGCAAGTCCTGTGGACTGATTCAGTTAAAGTATAACTTTTGGACGACAAAAATGGGTGCAGAGTTTTATAAAAAGAACACATCTCCAACTCCTAAGCACCAGGGGTGGATTCATAATGCTTTTGGCTTGTAGCCAGTGGCTACATTTTACTAGTAAAGGGAAGAATTCTGGAAGCAAACATCACACCGTCTACAAAAACACTGAAGATGAAGAGGATACACAGCAACAAATTTTGGCCAACTCTTTGACCAAAACTTTTCACGTTTCCTCCAGATACTCCAGCTTCCTCCCACAGTGCAAAGACATGCCTGGTAAGTTAGCTGGTGATTCTAAGTTGGCCATAGGTATGACATGTGCATGACTGTGTGTCTCCTTGTGTTGGCCCTGTGATGGACTGGTGACCTGTCCAGGCCGTACCCTGCCTTTCGCCCTATGCCAGCTGGGATCAACTCCAGCTCATAGTATAAAGCAGATATCGTTAGTGGTTGGATCTGGCAACTGACTAATCATCAGGTTCCAGCGTTAGCAGGCACAAACAGGTAACTTCACTTTCAGATTTTTCTGATATCAATGGAACACTTGACTGCTATTGCTCAGTTTAATTTTCACTTTTCAAAGAACTATTGTGTGTCTATTACAAAGTTTAGGTAGTAGTGAATAAGTGAACAAGAGAGTGCCATTAACACAGCATGGTGATTGACGTTTTCTTGAAGCATTTCTCCTGTAGACTGCAACGTATCATAAGAATATGTCCTCATATGTGCAGAATTCAGGAGACGTGTTCATGGCCAAACAATGACATAAAGTGATTGTCATTATTTGTCGTTTTCAGTAAACTAGGTTACTATTAAAGCTGCATTTAGTCTGAGTACATACCTGTCAAAACTTGTTTGAGAACTTCAGCTGCTTACACTTCTCTACCTTGGAGCTACTCAAAGCATTTTACAATGTGACAGAGCGACCATGCAAGGTGCTGCCTGCCATCGGGAGCAACTTGGGGTTCAGTGTCTTGGCCAAGGATGGAGGGGTCAGGGATCGAATTGCAATCAGTGGACAACCCACTGTGCTACCTGAGCCACAGCTGTCCACAGGTGTGTGCTTAAAGTCATACTATCACTGAATGATTATGAAGGACAGACCACTAAGTGTCTGTAAATTTTGACAATGTAAAGATTTGTCAGCTTGATTTAACTGAAAAATGTGTCAGATGCTTATTCACAAGGCCCGTCCTCACACTCCTCTGACATTTGAGTTGTAGTATCCAACAATATCTGCAATTTTTGCATCTCCTTCCACACTATGACATCATACCCCCCATGTGATTATTTGAAACACCAAAAATCACTTTTGCTTTGAGTGTGTGGGGACTGCATATTATACAAACACCTTGCTGTTCCTAAAGGCCTGCAACACCAGCACACAACACTAGGGGTCTGTCTCCCCCCACCCCCACAGCAACACGGATTGCTCACAAATAAAGTGACATGACTTCATGACTTCACAAATGGCCCATTGAAGCTTCTCTAATCCTTAAAGAATATTTTTGCAGAATGAAGATGTCATGGTGAGGCAGCTCTTTCTCCTGTGCAATGGCTTGTTCTAAAGGGAGTGTTGCTGGAGAGCAGAAGGAGGAGGGAACAATGATTCTGCTCTGCCCAGAGGCCATTCACATATGGAAGAGCTACTACAATGGGTGGTAACAACATAAATGTCTCTCCCTTTATCCTTTAGCTTCTCCTTTCGTTGTCTATGTGCCATTCTTTAGTTTAGTACGGTTTCATTGCTTCTGGAACTTGTTGAACAGTTTTCTGATACAACTAAGCTTTGTCATCCTAATTCCAGGACGTGGGAAAGAAGGACAATTTTTAAAAAAAATCAAAAAGAGATATGGAGTCAACATCTGATCCTATGGAGTTAGTGCCTCTGGTTGACTGTAATGCAGTGAGGTTGTGCAAACTGTCACCACTTCCTCCATCACAGCATCAACTACCTTCGGATCATCTTGTGGTGGAAATGTGATATGAGGGGTTTCATGTCAGACTGCGAGCTTGACTAAAGTGTGGAATATTTTTGTTCTCTGAACGTTCGACCAAAAGACAACCAGCGACATGGTGCGGCTGAAGCAACAGTTGTGTGTGTGTGGCAGACATCTGCTCGGAGCGAAACGTGTGTTTAAAACATATCTTTGAGGTTAAGTCTGGGTTTTTTTTCTCGCTTTTCACTCTGGTCTTACCTTCTGCTGCCTCCTGGCCATGTCAGTGGGCTGTTTGGCGTTGAACGGATAGGCAATGCAGCGCATCACAAACACATACAGCTGGAGTCTCTTTTTCCTCTCCTCCTCCTCCCTCTGCATCTTCTCCAGGTCCTCCTTCTCCTTGTCACTGCCCACCGACGGGCTTGGGCTGGAGGGTCGGCCGCCGCCGCCGCCGCCGCTCCCGCGGCCCCGGGGCTGGACACCTCCGTGGCCATCGGCGGCTCGGCTCGGTGACAGTCGGGCTCCTCCGAGGCTCTTCGGGGCCGCCACCTCTTTACGCTCCACCTCCAGTATCTCATCTCCTTCCTCCTCGCTGGAAGACGGATCCAACATGTTGCTCGGGTTTGGATGGAGACTCTACCGGGTGCAAAGGTAAAACTGTAAAAGTAGAAAAAAGGTGCAGAGCAGCGTCAGCCGCAGGGAGACAGATCGGAGCAGCGGCGCTATGGAGACGGACAGCTGAGCGATGAGCCGCGCACACTGTTGCTTCTCAAGAAAAAACAACTGCCGTCAATCTCAGCAAGAAAAATGAAAGTGTTGTAGAGACTAGTTGGCTGCGTGACTTACAAGCCTTTCCACTCTGCCAGTCAACAGCACATAGGAGGGATTTATGATAAGAGCACATATAAAGGGGGAGGGGTCGCACAGACAACAGGAGCGACGCTGCTGCTGCTGCTGCTGCTGCTGCTGGAGGCGGAGGCTGGAGCTGACCGCGGTGCTGAGGCTGCTGCTCTGGGATCAGTCTGATCACACTATGAGCACAACGGATGAAAGGCCACCTGATGATCCAGCTGAGTCAAAGAGGACAGGTCCACACAGCAGCAAGGAGGAATCACAGCGCTCGGGCTTTCACAATAAAAGCTTGTAGACTCTAGTTTCAATTCTGATCGCAGTTAAATGATCGGGAAAAAATACACGAGGAAAAAGATTGTTCTGCTCGTTTATCCATGAATAGGCCTCTATATGCAGTGGATGATTATTTCAGTATCTGCATCTTTGTGTCCCACTTTCATTTAAAAGGAAAAATATATAGTCTGGAGCGTAACCCAGCTGGTGAGGTCGTGAACAGAGAGACGGACAGGGAGGATCCAGGAAAGTAGATTACATTGGACCTGTGTAAGCATGTTGCACCTCCAGCCAATTTAAAAACTCATGAGGTCATTTTCATGACCAGTTAAAGGTAAAATAGCTCCTGTGACTGACTGATTGAGGTTCCATCAGAAGTGCCGAGCAGAATAAAAGTTGTCATATAGCTTCTGATTTAATGGCGGTTTATATTTTAAGTCTAGATTTGATTTCAAATTTGATTTTTCTCAGTGATAGTGACACTTAATTTTAAACAAAATGTGTACAAATAACACAGTTGCACCAACAATCTTGAGACTTTTCCTCTGTACACAAAAGGCCTATTTCTCTGGATTGGCGTATAAGACAGCATGTTTCAGTTCCTGTCATTATACAGCAACTTTGCACAGCCATTGAAGAGGAGTGGAGCAACATTCCACAGGCCACAATCAACAACCTTCAACTCCATGCGAAGGAGATTTGTTGCACTACATGAAGCAAATGGTGCTCACACCAGATACTGACTGGTTTTCTGACCCCCCAATACAGTAAAACTTCACATTCACTGTGGCCTTTTATTGTGACCAGCCTAAGGCCTAAGGCAGCAATAACCATACTGTCTAATCAGCATCATGATACGCCACATATGTGAGGTGGATAGATTATGTTGGCAAAGGAGAAGTGCTCACTAACACAGATTTAGATACATTTGTGAACAATATTTGAGAGAAATCAGCTTTTTGTGCACATCATTTTTGTCCAGGCCTGTTTCATGAATTTATGTTTTTAATAATTCTGTTAAACCACGGTTCAAAAGCAATGTCTGATTTTCAGTGCTTAATTTTCATAGAAGTTTTATTTATTTTTACTTTTGTCAGATTCAAGTTATTTCTGTGACCATTGTGGGTTTTTCTTTCATTAACCGAGGGGTACCAACAATTTTGTCCACGTGTGTATGTATAGTTCAGCTACACAGCTTTAAACAGTTTGTTATGTAAATGATGGGGGAAAAAAAGATCTTTACCTTCTTGAAATAAAATACATTTATACGTTTGATCCGGGCAGTAGTTAGCACGTGGCCTTACTCACAGCTGGAACATCCCTGGTTCACATCTCGGCCTGGGGTTTTTGTGTGGAGTTTGCATGTTCTCCCTGTGCAGCATGGGTTCTCTTTGGGTTCTCCGGCTTCCTCCCATAATCCAAAGACATGAGGTTGATTGGTGAGTCTAAATTGTCTGAAGGTGTGAATGTGAGCGTGCTTGTCTGTCTCTCTGACACAGAGAAACAAACAAGCATGCACAGTCATACCTATGACAAATTTAGAATTGCCAGTTAATCTGATATTTTTGTCTTTGGATTATGAAAACCCATGTATGCATGCATGCAAACTCAACACAGAAAGCTGCAGCTGACAAACAGGTTCAATCCCAGAACCTTTTTGTTCAATCTGTACTTGTTTGATCATGTATGTACAGTAGTCTGCAAAGAGTTGCTAAATTTCTTTTACTGTGAATCTTCTTTTCATCTTCAGCAATTTTGCTTTGTTTTGTGTGATGTTTACTTACAGAATGTGCTGGTATTTAATGGAGCGAAAATTTAAAACTGTTCAGTTACTTCTTGTGTAGAAAGTTCTGGGTGTTAAGAGGAGAATAAGGTCAAAAGGTCACAGTGAAGAATAGAACGGAATGACACTTTATGGCTATTGTCAGGTTCTGGGGAGGTAGGAGACATCCTGTTGTCTCCAGGAAGGTTGTCAGTGGTCATTCTGCAGTAAACATATGATATGCAGATGTTCCATCTGGGTGAGTGTTTTAGGTTAGCTGTCTTCTGAAATGGTCTTCTACCAGATTTACAGCTGTGAGGAAGGGTCTCTGGATTCTCTGTGTGTTACTTTGAAATGTGCCTGTTGTTTTGCTCCTCAGGCCGCTACATTAAGTCCGTTCTTCCTTCTGTCAGTTAGATGCTCCTTGGGCCACTGGCTGCAACACAAGCCAAAAGTGTTATGGATCCTGCCAGGTGCTGACGAGTTGGAGATGTGTTCATTTCATGAAATTCTGCACCCCTTTTCTTGACATACCCTTTGCAGCCTGGTGTTCTCAAGTTTTACAAACTAAAATTGGCCATGCCAGGAACACAGAAATGCAGAAAAGAAGGAATCATCACCCTATTACTGATAACATTATTATCACTACTCTTCTTATTATAATGTTTCTCTCCTCTCTTTTCCTCTGTCTTTTCTTCCTTACCACCGTATAAATAAGGTTTAGCTTACCTTGCCTTTGATTGTGTTTTCTTTTTTTAATTTCTTATTGACAATCAAGTTGAAACTAAAATAGTTTGGTCTGAAGATGATGTCAAATCAAAGCTTTCCTTTCCTTGTTATCTGTTGTGCTTCAAAGGTGCACTGACTAAATATATTGACCAAATGGGCTCAAAGGCAGTCGTAGTAAAAGTGAAAAGCAAAGTCAAGTAAACAGGCTTTATCCATATGCATATATACAGCAGATACTTCTCAGTTTACCTTAGAAATATTTGACATAATAGCAGGCAATATTAGATCAAATAAAACTACAACATTTCAAAGCAGAATGAAGTCTGGAAGTCTTGTACAGCTTATTAAACTCTATTAGTCAGTTGATACGTATAGAGCAATGTTTGTTTCTCCTCAGATATGCAGAATAATTCCATGTGGCGCTAAATGGGAAATGTGTTCTTCTATAGAACTCTAATAGAGAAATAAATGAAATGCGAAAATGAAGTTGATCACTTTTCAAAACTTCAACATATTCAGCAGGTTGGCTCAATACTGATATTCCTATCAAGACTTCAGTTTTAGTAAGCAATCCAAAACATGAACTTCAGGCCAAAACACAACCAAGCAACTGTGGAAATTCAGAGCTTCCACTCTCAGGCATTAATTGGTCACATCAGTTGTGTAAGCCATTGAAGTGCAAACAAGATTAACAGAGGAAGAAGCAGAAAATGACACATTACAATGAGCAAAAACTGTGTTATCATAACATGCTCTACACTGATTCTAAATGGTCAGTGATCTATCCATTAGGTGTTAGGTTTCCCATGCTGATATAATGAGTCTTTACCAATCACGTCACACTATATTTTATGTATTAAATAAAATGAATATTCTTGTAATGTTTGTTAATCATTTGGAAACTTATTTGGTGTTCAAATCATGTTTAATCTGGTATGTAAAAGCCAGTACACATTTGTTGACATTTGACTATTGCAAATGTTTTTTAATCAAATATAGAAATTAAGACTTTGTATTAATCACATTCAACTGTCAAACTTTTGAATATTGCTTAGATTGTACAAAACTACTTTGACTACATTAGATTTGAGTACTTGAATTAGAAACTAAGACAGAAAAGTGGAGTAAAATCAGGAGATGACTAATAATAATATGCAGTAAAAATAATCAGAGATAATTGTATTTATGTAGAAAGTTGTTCATGAGTCACATTTTTGAAGGTTTCCTCTATATTTTTCAGACAAAATGTTCTCTAAAAGAATGAAGGACCAACCAGGAGAGCAGAAAGACAGCAGACCCTAGTGGCCTCCACACAGACATATGGGAAAGTTCTATATTATGCATCATGATGGAGGATGTGCTGTCATCATCATCCAAGGCCGATATAGCTTCCAAGTGACTGCTATGAGCTGTTAACACTAACATCTAATAAACCAT